TACACACAATTATACTTTAACATGTACTTGAAATAGTATTAAAATATGACCTATCAAAATACAACATTTGATCAAATACAGAGAGTACATAATTAGTTGTCGTTCAATTTTTTGATTATCAATCTGTTGTTGCCTTTATCGTTTTGCATGATTTAATTATGTTAAATCGGATCAAACTACGTATTTACCATTAACACGATGAGCTATAATAAATGTAAACAACTTATTCAAACCATTAATAATTCTAGCAAGTTTCAGTTTGATTAATAGCACAACGAGTTCTAGCAACATTATCAAATTATATTGAACGACTTTTTTTTTTCTTTTCGATAGATTATTTTTTTTTTCATAGTGTTGAGTAGTCTTTTGAAAACTGATTGTACAAAATGTTGTTTTTTTTTCATTCTGTTTGTGTAAAACTATAAAATAGACGTGCTTACGCAGATGATAATATATGGAATCTGACATTAATGATGTGTAAAGCTATGAAACAAGCACAGAAAAATATATTCATATAGTTTATTTAGGTACTTTCTTGTCGTTAATATGATGTCAGATAATTCGATTATAATCATTTGAATGAATGATTTAGTTCATAGTATCATTTATCGAATTATTTCTTATTCAATTTCGATAAAATAGAACCTATTGAATTAATTAATAACATGCTTTACAGTTAGAAAAGAATTGTTTAGTATTGAATAACAGTTTTTTTTTTAATTTTAAATTATCTAAATATTTCATTAAGGTGGTGGTGGTACTCCTCATATTGGTTATTATTATTGTGTCAATATGGTTGTTGTTTCAGTAACAGCTGTACTTGCTACGATCGTCATACATATATATGTTCGAGGTGATCGACGTCAAGATGTTCCTCCATTCATACGTCGTCTTTTTCTTCAATATCTTGCTCGACTTTATTGTATGGCTCCAAAAACACCTCAAAATTTATCTGGTTCTGTTTCATCTCGGTATGGTTCACCATTACCTGGAGCTCTCCTATTACCAGAGAAAATATTTTTAACACCACGTTATCATGAAGAAGAATTTTCTAAAAAACTTAAATTACTTAAACAACGGTTTCATGAATTTCATCGACAACAACAACAAAAACAACGACAACAACAACAAAGTTCACTTGTTGTTAATACTATGACAAATGAAACAATAGCTGCATTGAGTGTTAATTTACGTTCTATTGAAAATGATTTAAAAGAAATTCGAGATTATTTAAGACATATGAAGAAAAAAATTGAAGATACTGATCGATCAAATAAAACTGCTGATGATTGGAAACAAGTTGCTCTTGTACTTGATCGAACATTTTTCTTTGCTTATTGTTTTTGGCTTATTTTATCACTTATTGTTATGTTTCCAAAGACGACTAATATATCAAAAGGTACTTGGTCAACACCAACTTTACCAACACTTACTAATGTTACTACTAATATAAGCAATTTAACATTGATTTAATTTTTTTTTAATATTTCTTTTCTTTTTTTCGTAAAAAGAATATGTCGGTGCTATATCCTTATTCTAACTTTGTTTTTGTTCTATTTTTTGTATCAAAGATTCACAATTTTTGTATTGTATGTATGAAGTTTTTTCCAATGAGCGATTATTATTTAGAAGAATATAATATGATACGCATCATGCTTAAACCAGAATGTTCTCGAGTTTTATTGCAGATGTTCGATTAAACAGAATTGTTTCAATATCAATTACTCTTTCCTAATTCGAAAACTATTTATTTCACTGATGCAATAGAGATTACAGTAATGGTTACTGAAATAAAATTACTGAAATGATATTTGACAGAAATATTTTTAAAATAAATAAAAAATAATAATCTTGCTGATTTTTGTTTCATAATTAATTTCAAAATCAAAAACATGATCATATATGAAGAATTTTAGGTATTTCACTCTTCTTAGAAGATCGATTTTACGTGAATATCACCTATAAATAAATATGATAGTATTTCTATTGCAATTTCATTGTTGCACAAAAAAACTGCGAAATATTAATTGTTTTCTTTTAATTGATTGAGTGTGAAATCCGATTATATTTTATCCGCAATGGATTGCCTTCAATTTCGTTGCTAAATGTCAATGTATCGTATGCTTGTTCAGGAAATTTTTTTCTTATGCAAATCGATGATTAGCTCAATAGTATTAATGAATATCCATCGAACTAGATTGATATAAACGAAAAGTATACATTTTACATATTATTCATTACCGATAACAACATGATAATATAGTAATCCTTTGTAGAATTTAGAAAATTAAGTATAGTTCACTAAACACAGAAAAAAATATTTATATCGGTGTTTACATGAGTGTTATATTTTGTAAATCAAAAAACTACTAAAAGTAATAATATGATACATAGTTGGTAAATCGCTACGGTTATTTTTAACATATATAGATTGTACTCGACATTATTCAAGAAGATATCTGATTTTAAATTATTACATACTGTCGTGTGCTACTTGGCTATAGACAGTTGGAAGATAACTATGAGACTGTAAATAGCAATCGTTTATATTCATAAAAGTAGTTTAATTCGTAAGTGTACTGATCTAGACCGAAAACTAATTTGTAAACACATTACTCTGCAGAGATAATTGCTCTAATCGCAGTCTGTATTTTACAGTGTTCACGTTCACTCGGAAAATACCGAAACTAGCTAATTTTAGTGTTTTCTGAGTGGTTGTGAGAATATTCAAAATCGTGATTAGGGTTATTAAACGGAGTTTCGGAATCTCTCGATTGTTTAAGGATGTCCATGTAAGAGGATCAGCTTGTCGGTTAGAGTATTGATGACAGTATATCAAAGATTCGTCCTCACACTGACACACACTCTCACAAAGAATATTCATAGAACCGTTGAAGAAACTTGTACACATGTGTCTAGACGAGATACTCGAGAGCAGTGAGTAATTCAAGTTTTCAGTCGCTGGTTGGTCGTCTAGTACAACGTAAAAAGTTGTCATTTAAGATATCATCATTTAGAAGATTTCATGGTCACAAAAATACTATTTTTCTCCGAATTAGTATCATAGTAGCGGTATGAATTTTCTCTTCTGCACATACTTCAACGAACAATCCGTTTCCAATTAAGTCAAGTCTCATTCATAGTTAAACACAATAAAGAGTTATAAAGAAATGCTTGTTATCACATTTTTAAGATATGTTTGAAAAAAACTATCAAGACAAAATGTTAGCTTTTGGTGATGATTAAGTTCGATCTTATTCACTACAGAGATGAGCAACACCGACTGGCTCTTGTGAAAGCTCTATAGTAGATGGGCTTCGAATAAATCGGAAAATGTTCGATGCGACTTTAAGAGCTGAAGGCGGTGCAACGATCAGCTTCACATCCACTTACACACGGTATCAAACATGTTTCGATTGAATACTTGTTGTGAGGTCATTTGGAAATGGTCAATTGAAAGTGAGAACGAAAATGAATGAAATTTAATTTATTTTGATAAAATAGAAAAAGCAATCAAAAAGACTAATAAAATTTGACTGATACATAGAAAATCATCAATCTTCTTGTTCATTATTGGCTGTTGATAATGCTTGTTGACAATTGTCATTAATCCCAAATAGGTCTTTCGCATGCATCAATGCAAATTGTTTATAATTATTGACTTTACCCGTATATAGATTCATCAGTAATCCCATATATATTTTCATTGATGGTGTATTATTTATTAGGATGGCATAATCTTTTCTCGAAAGATGCTTGTTCTTTTCATAAAACTGTTCAATGGATTGAACCATTTGATTGAATTTAGGTCGTACTTGCTCTTCCATTTTGGTTATTTTCTCCAAAGCTACTACATCATCTTTAAATAATGATCTTAAGTCGTCTGATTGTTCATTGATTATGTTTTCAAATAAATGTTGTGAAGAATTCACACTGCTTCTACAATGATGTAATTGAAGATATTTGTGAGTTTTGATTTTTACTAGATAAGACGTTTGATCTGAGCGAATGATTTCGACAACGTAACCTTCGCCTTCGGTCTCACCACGAATGTCTTTCACGAGTTCTTTTTGAGAGAGATGACGTGGAATCGATGTAAATGGAACTACACGTTCGACAATCGATTGAAAACCATGTTCACGAAGAAATGAGATGAGGTGCCGAGCGAAAAGAGTCTCACCAGTCAAATGAGATCGAATAGAAAGCACAGTCAGTTCGGAACAAGGATAGTGAAGAACAATGCGATTCAAAGGTGATGTATATTCCATACTGACAGTATAATTAAGATGAACCAGACTTTCGATTTCGTTTTTGAATTGTCCTATAATTGATTCTTATTTAGTTATAAAAGTCAAGATTACATTCTAGTCAAACAAGGATGTTGAACAAGCATCAAGTTGATGTATATAGAAACAAGCTAGACGGTTTTAAATGAGACAATGAATGGTGTAGCCAGAAGTTTTTGAGTCGTGTGCAATTTTTCAGCCAAACTATTTTAGGATGTGGGAATCTATCACCATCGCAGACGAAATCTTGTAGGCAATTATTATTCAACCATGTAGTAATTCCTACTAGTTCGAAAAATATTGTGGATAATAACTTTTGGATTGATGGGCAATTACCTAACGACCCATGGCTGATTACGTCACTGGGCAGGATGAAAGTGATAATACGTCGCTTACGCCACTACTTAGTATATTCAAGACAGAGTGACGGAATCGCATATAGAGTGATAGTTTGAAAAACTAAGCTTACTAGTGCTAGAAATATTCTATGTTATTCTTCATGAAATCTTTCTTAAGGAATACTATGGAATCTTTTTCATCTTAAAGCTAACTTGATCATGAAACGATTTCATATGTCATTTTCCTAGAAAAATATGAGCTCAATATTCAGATGCATTCTATTTACAAGACTTTTAGCTTCGAAAACAGTTGTTCTCTTCCTAAAATAGACCTACTCATCGAAGAGTCATTTCAAAATCATGTTTATCTCTTATTCTAACAAGTGACAGTACCGTTTAGTAATTCCATTGCTTCACATGATTGTGATGAGATCAACGATGCTTTTGATTTCAAACGGACAATTGGTTGATTGTTCTTGTTGAAATGGAGAAATGTTGAAATTAAGGATCCATCTATTTTAGTCATTTGATCTCCTAATTGTCCTAGCTCATGTTGTTCACAATCGTTGCCCTCTTCATAATTGAAGAATTTTTCTGGTGGCAACGAAACCAATAGAACATTGTCAGGATCATTGATGTTGAACATTGTTCCACGACAATTTAAAGCAGATGGATGTGAATTGAAACTAGTGTAGGAACAAAGCCGATAATTGAATATACGATATTTGGTAGAATCAAGTTGAACATCTTTATAATAAAAGCCGTTGTCAGCTGAACATAGTGATGTAAGATTATGATAAAGTTGAGGCATTAACTGCACCATCATTGGGCTAGAAATGTGTGCGTATGCTGAGAAATGATTTGTTCCACATGTATTTAACCGAATATTATATATATAACTACAACAACGATTACAACATCCGTCATCAGCAATATTGCAACACTACGACCGTACTTACGTCATGAAGAATACTCTATGCAGTCAAGTGATTCATCTTTTTTCATTCTGTCATGTATGTGTTTTATCCCATGAGGTAGAGAAACATTCAGACATTTTTTATACGACATACAGCATAGCATTCATGTAGTCATTTACGCGTTGTTTTGTTTTTCTTTTATGAAAATGCAGAGCACCTTTATGGTAAATTGCTGCACGTTTTTATGGTGTAAAACATCATATAGTTGTTATGTGCAAGTTTTTGTTCTCGATTGTCCGTATCTCAAGCTAATATTTTGCGACTTGATATTCTCGTGAATAGAATATCGATAGAAGCTAGTTGAAACATCATCAACAAAATAGAGTTTTCAAAATGATAAATATTTTCTCAGATTTTTCTATATGTTACACTATTAACCCAATATAAAGTCTAGACAACGAGCACAACATGTAGACTTTCTCACATATGTCAAAGATCATGAACACATGCCTAGATGCCTATCTTTGCAGCTAACACTAGCTGTAGTGAATTTTGTTTAAAATAGAAGCTGTTGCCATCCTTTATCAACGACACCTAATTTATTCATGATTCTTTACCAAAAGGAAACTTTTTTTTCTGATTTTTGTCTAAATTGAACTACCAATATTTTGAGAATGCATGGAAACGTTAAGAAAAATGTTACTTACTAATTTACTGGCATAATGCTACTTTGGATAAATTGTTCATTCTATTTGATGGATGATATGAGTTGATAGGTATTCATAGGAATTGCTTAACGTTATATATTACTATGTCAATTAGTTCACCAGCAGTAAAATTCGAATATGGAAAATTATCTTTTGACTTAATTATTCTTGTCCAAGATCATAAAATGAAACCTGGGATCGACACTTATCTTACCATTATTGAATGTGCCTGAAGTTAAGATTTCTTGCCATATTTTACTCAATTTCTTGTCTTGAAAATTGCATGCATAAACATAAATTTTCAGTTAGATACGTATTTTATCATTAAAGCAAGAATAGTAGACATGCTTGGTATTCCAAATGAAAACAGAAACGATTGATTTGTCCGCTGACTCAACTTAGTCGATTGATATTGATACAGACTCATCAATTATGAACCGAGAACTGTTTCTACGATCAAGTTTATTATTCAGTTTCATCCATATGTGATAATCCGCAATTTCTACATGAAATTATTCAACAGTGCTTAGCATCGATATCGCATATGTGCAAAGTTAGGGTACTTTCTAGTCTCTTTTTTCTTTCTGAGTATGCGCATCAAAAGTTTTTATTTTCGGTCACAATGATCTGGAAAATCGAAAATCATAGAATAATCATTTAAGCGTTACGATAAAATTTTATGATCGGATCAAAAGCGTTTTGTGAATGCAGTTCATGAGGGATAATAAAACAGATCGAAAACCAAGAGAACAATCGATAGTCTTCATTAGAAACATGTTGATAGCTATGAATTGATTACTCTTAGTAATAAATTTTACAAATAGTTACTTTGCATTTTCATTCTGACTTCGATCAGCTAATTACTTTAAACTTAAATTTTCGATTAACAGCGATAGGATAAAATCTTCATTCTAATCATATGTAAATAAGTTTTGGAGAAAAGCGTTTCGTAATAAATCGTAGAAACGATCATTCGTTTATTATGTTATATCGATTGTTCGATAATGAATATTCAACGCTTGGCATTGCATTTCGTAGTCGAGTGAAAATCTTCAAGGAGAAGAGTCTTATTTTTGATATTATGTAATAATTTTCTTCCTTTATTTCAATTTACCTAAAAACAAAATTATTGCGTAACATTTCATTGTTGAAAATAACTTCTTGAAAAGGGATTGTAGAATAGCTGATGAAATGACATCTTTATTATTTTCTTTTTTACTCTCGTGAAGCATTTTTTCTATCTGATGGACCTATAAATGCAATGAAAATTTCCGAAAGTATAGCACGACAAAAAAGGATCTATATAATTCTGCATAGACAATGTCAATAATCCTCTTTGATGATCAGCTATTATTCTTCTTTTTCTTTGATAAAAATTCTTGTTTTTTTTTTCGTTATTTTTCTTTATGATCGAATGTTTGTTCTCTTCTAGTTTTTCATGCATAAAATGAGAGCAAGTGAAGAAAAACAAATTATGCTTTTATTTCAGCTGAAAACATATTCTTACCTAGCGTTTTCTTAGTACATTCATACATGATTCAGCGGTACTAAGGGTTCCACATGTTTTTTTAACGATTCAAATCGAATAGGCATATATATTTTTGCTAGTGATTTAAAAAGAAAATTATACTTTTATTGTTCAGTCAACGAAAACAATAAGTCGATAACATATATGAAAAAATAAAATAATAAAATATATTGAAAAAATAGATAAACCATAATATAAGGATACTATATAAAGGGTATTAAATATCATCGCATAAACATACAGTCAGTGTAGAAAAGTTTAAAATTTATACTATAAGAAATTGAATCAACAATATGGCGCAATCAACATTTGTCTTTTGTGAATTGTGTTAATAGAAAACCTTTTCCATCCTAACATCTTGAAATCTTATTATATGAAAAGAAAGAATAAATGGAATATTTTCTGTTAAAAAGAATTTGTACAATTCTTTAAATAGATATACTATTATTTAAACAAAAAAAAAACAAATTTTTTAGAAGTATCTCTATTGAGAAGCTATGCGACGCTACTACACCTTCTATGTACCACTCTTTGACCAAAATGCTTGAATGAGCTCATGTTTTCCTAGTGATTTACTTTGTAACTGTTGTATATGGACGTATAAACGTGACAAGTAATTAATTAATTGGACACTTGTACAGTATTGAATTTCAACTGATTGAACCAAATCTGTACTCGGAACATACAACTGATGATGTCATGGTATTCATATGCGCTATCTTGCAAGCTCGCTTGGAGAACTGACTAGAACATACATGTTGAAATGTCATTTTAAAAATGTTCTATACGCTTTTACTTCAAATCAGTTTTTCGACTACATAAAGTTAGAAAAAAAATCGAGATGAATAGCTAGAACGAGGATCCTTTGAACAATGTTATTCTCAACTGTCTTTTTTTTTTGAAAACACTCGATAATTGTTTCAATCAATTTACCGGCATCTTTATCAGAAAACTCAAATTTGGGTATAAACAATGAAACTATGATATACATTCGTGCATCAATAGAGTTTTCTATGCGTTCCATGCCTTCTAAATGAAACAAATATTCTAATCCAATAAGAATGAAAAGTCATTCGTTTAATGTTCAATGGTTCTGTTTTTCTGTGTCATTATCATGATATGATATAGAAGTTTTTGTGCAGTCTGTATGAGTGAAAGGATATTCAAATTTAAGATGAAACAACCATGAATCGTCGCATGTTTGATGAAATTTGTTTTCTTCAGTCAATTAACCTCGTCCTTACGAACAACTTACTCAATCTGACATTCGTTGCAGAAAAATGCATCGACGAATAATGAAAAGATTTGTCATATTCGCTATTACAGATATTAGCATAATCATTCGATAAATATTGTGATGAAAATTATTATTAGCCTCTGTACATTCGAATAAAATTTCAATTAGATAGACATTGACAACTGATTTTGGGTTTGGTAATCGAAATTGTTCTATTTAGTTTACCCTTCCAGATCGATTGCTGCCAATACCGTTAGTATTTGTATTTGATAAATCGATTCGATCTATCTTTTCAATGAGAGCAATATTTACATCGCTTCAGATCTGTCCAGTAAACGTCCACATTTTTATTCTGAATCAAGCTTCTGATAAAAAAATATTAATGTATAATATCATGTTCCGCATTCAATGACGAAGATATTACGAATATTGTACAGTGTAAAAGAAACATTGATTCTACTTGATAATGTTAGTAATAGCTAGCCAATGGACGAAAATAATCACAAGACGTCTTTCTCTAAATCTCGTGGGTCGAAAATAATATGGTCTTGATAGTCGTGTCTATGGTTTGTCTAGTATGTTGAAAAGCATTTCTAATTGAGAAAGCTCTGAATATTATAAAAAAATTCTGATGGATTACAATATGTGTTAACAGAGATATATTCGACTGACTTTTATCAGAAGATACAAAACGGTGCTCTTCATCTTTTACATATAATGAAAACAATAAAAAAAAAGCAGCTGAGACATGATTCAATGGTGATATCGTTACGCATCATCAACCGCCTTTGCATGCTTATAAGAAAAGTAACGTAAAAAAAATAAAAAAAAATGAGAGTGTAAAGAAGGGAAAAAAGTGATATCATGCGTTTCGTCTATTTATTGATTGGATGCATATGACAAGAAAAGCATTCGATATATAACATTGTGATGAAAGACGCAAACCTGAATCAAGAGACATCGCCATATACGAAGGAAATCTCGGCAAATGAACATCCATTCTCTGGATCAGCTGCAGAAATTCCAATGGGGCCACCTCCAAATTATGGTAAGAGCTAGACATGTGCTTACAACAAAATTTTTAGGATTTTGGCATACATTTTCGTTTCAACATCTAGGTTTTGCGTGTAGATTTAGCTTTCAGGAATAAATTTTACCCCCACTTATAATTTGAATTTTGATTTTCTATCTTCAATTTGAGTATTGGCTACTGTAATAAAGTATTCTGATGCGACTACTAAGCTTCGTATAATAGCACTTGGAGAAGTGTAATAAGAATTGCATTGCAACTAATTAATGACTTTGTACTACTTAAAAAGAAAGTAAGATCTATTGACCATTTATTGGAGCTTTCGATTTGAGTTTGTTAGGTGCAGAACAAACATTACTTGAAAATATTGTTGTCTGATAAAATTGGGTCAAGAGTTTTTCAGAGAT